TTCTGACATGTCTCCCCAATGTGATGTTTATGTAAAGTTGGTCAGAAGGTTCCTTTGTAAGTGCGCATGCGCCATTAGCGTGCTGCCTGCTGTAACCCTAATTTCCTTCGGGATTAATAAAGTATTCTGATTCTGATTCTGATCAAACAAAACTTTCAATGCACTGTGAAAGTATCAAAATAAAAAGGCCTTGTTAAGTCATGACACATGCTCTTCATCTCAGGAGGGTAAATCATACCAAACCTAATTGGTAGACACAACTTTGCAACAAAAGAAAAAACATCAGCTAGATTAATTCGAAACCATCCATCAGCCACACAACACACAACATAAGCCTACGTTTTTTATTAGCTATGAGTTTAATCCCCAGGTCTGTGCTCTTCACTCATTTTGGCCACACACCCATTTTATTCAGTTTTCCTTTTCCCCGTCATCATAAAACATGTGACATGTTTTTATGTACTTCACAAAAGAAGTTTGTTCTTATGTATTCAGAGTTGTGTATCTGGGTGCAGGATTCACTCGCACATCAGACCAAGAAACTCAGTGTTTTAGAGTCTCCACTCTAACAAACTCCAACACATCTCATTCACTCGTGCTAGAATTCAGTCACTTTTCCTTAATCTAAGAACGATCAACTAATTTGCATATCAGCTATTAACCCACTAAGATAACAGGACAACAGAAATGCATGTTCAAAATGTTATCACAAAAATAGAATTTCCCTCATACAGTAAATTACTTGTGCTGCATCAATCAAGCAGAAAGCATCTCCCAATTTACTATATTAACAACTAAATTTATTGTCTGATCACTGGTTGGTCAAACCAGAATCTTTTTTCCCACAAAAATTAAACTGTTGTCCTGTAACCTAGAGAGTTAATTGTCAGCATTGGATAAATTCAGCATTTGATAACAAGTGTCTGTTAAATTGACACTATTTTAACACTGATGAGAGATAACAAGCTAATTTTCATTGCATGTGTGTTTGTGTTATTAGGCAGGTTTAATGCATGTCTGTGGAGCTGCATATCCAGCAGAGCATGTTCTTAAAGCTGCCTGTCCTACACATTTCTCTGCTATTATACTACTTTGCTATGAGTCCACTGGTCTTTGCATCACTTTGCATCACACGAAGTGACTTGGACAAGATGATAAAAAGACTCACATGCTCAAGATGCTGCCTAATCTTCATGAGCTCTCTTGTATTTGTGTTAGTAGGGTTAATGCATGTTCTGCTTGTGTGTGTGATTTTGTATGTTTCTTTTTGCAGTGTTTCAGACTCCTTCACAATTTTCCCACTTAAGCAGTCAGTTTTCTTTTTCCCAGGTTTGCTAACCCAAATTTTGATTTCCCACATTAAAGAACAGCACTCCTCTGTGTTCTCACCTACTCTCACTCTGTTGTCCTCTCCCACTTCAACAGTACAATAGCAGGCAGTTCTCTTTCAGCTTTGTCCTGTATTCTTCACAGTCTCTTCTTGCCATTTTACTCCAAAAGTGGCAAATGTCAAACTCCAACAGTCTCCTCAAAAGTCCTCTTCACATGCACAGTGAAGTTACAGCTTGTTGAAAGTGCAGTGCCATTTATCCAATCAGTTAGGATGATGGGTTTGCTCTTCTTCTCTGATGCTGTTTGTCCACACTGCTGCTGCTTGCTGGATCTCTCTGCTCAGGACTCTGCTGCTGTCTCTTTATCTGCCATATTATTGCTCTTTGGAACTGCGTTCCTTGTCTTCAGAGAGGAGTGAGAGTTCGCTTGTGAGGTTGAGGGACACATGGCGCTGTAAACAATTCAGCCAGAAACTTGGCCTGAACGTTTCCAATGATGTTAACCTATAACTTTCTTCTGACCGCTGCATGTCGAAAATTGATTCAGGTCTGCTTTTCATCTGAAAGTGACAAAACTAAGACATTTTCATTATTATTATCACTTCTTAACCAACACACATCTCTCTCGCTCTCTGTTTTTTTGTTAACCCTCCGTTAACAAAGCGTTGCGCAAATCGGGCTCCGTTTTGCGCAACTACTTTTAAATCCCGGTAGCACTACAACCACGTGAGCTAGCGCAATCATTTTTTTTATATGAAACCAGAGGTGTTGTACTTACATCTTATGCCATCAGCTTGTCCTAGGTCACGGTTTCCTTCCACATATAGCTTTGCAAAAACTGCATAAAAAGCACTTGCAGCAACAAAAACATAATATTCCAGAAACACGCTTTGCCGATCCGATCAGCTGTTCATAACACTTCCTACATTGGAATAGACGTCAGCGTGAACTATCGCATGTCCGCCATGACCTGCCCGAAAGCGGAAGTGACGTCATTTTCGCAGAAATGTAGTTTTTTACCATCAAGTTCTCATGAGCCTATACTGGTGTTTTTAAAAGTTATGTTTGACTTCATGACTTTCTGTGTCGTTTCTGGGATGCTTAGGACTCATATTGCACTGCTGGAAATAGTTTATTTTGATGCATATGCTGCTTTTTTGCAAATTTGCAGTATAATATTTATTTTCGTTTTTCCTGCAGTGTATAAAAATTGGTGTATTTCAAAAATAAAACTATGAAGACACTCAAAATAAATTTCCTGTGGTGGGAAACTATTTTGTGCAACTTTTTTGTATTTACAGTTTTGAGAGATAAGCCTCTTAAATTGCTTTAACTAGAAATATATGTTAAAAAAACAAAAAAGATTTTTAATTTCTTTGTAGTTTATTGCACTTTTTTGCAATTTATGTAATTACTATGCATTTAATGTATACATATTATTAAAACTTAGGCTGTAATGGTTGTATTGATGTATAGCAACTTGAAATGCTCCCAAAAATGGCACTACAACATGTAAAAATATAATATAAGCTCTGGCGGACTTGGTTCTATGGTAGGTCTTAAAGGGTTAAGACATAAATCTAGCTTTGGTGTGTTGACTCATGGGACTGTCCATGCGTCAAGAGGAGGGGTCCAGAATTAACATGAAACAATGTTTTCATGTTGACATATGCTAAGTATAAAAATGTTTGCATTGACACTGTCAGACATGAGGTGATCATAACTGGGAACTTTTCTAGCATAAATGTCAAAGGGCATTGTTTTAGATGTTTTTACCTTACAAGTTTATAAGCATTCTCCCTTTCCAGTGCACAGTCAAGTCTACCCCAAGATCAAAAATATGTATGAGAAATTTGACCTAATATATCTGTGAAGGTTCTTACCTAATATAATATTATTTATAAACATTCCTGTCCAGTGGTTGAAGTGGAGTCAGGAACTCACAACAGAAGCATACTCTATAGTGTGTCGTACATTCATTTATGTATATGATATGTGTTTTTTGTTTATTGTGTTTCCCAACACCAAGAAGTCACAAGCAAAGAAAGAGATCACCATGGCACATGTTTGAAAAGGAAAGTTGATTGATCAAATGTATTTATTAAACAAAGAGACATAATTGTTTTACCCCCTAAAGAATACATGTTCAAAGCAACACAAGGGTGGCTCAATATCAGACAGAACTGTGAACTCCACTCTGTAGAGTGGGCAGTCATAATCAAGCATTCATTTTTTAGTCAAGCTGCTGTTCATATTTTTGGCCAGCAGATGTCACCAGAGAGGACTGTGTTGAAAAGCTTTGAGTGATTAACTGTTTTTTTTTAAAGACAAACTTCAATGTTTCAAAAAACTTCCTTTGGCCGTCACTACTTTTGCGCAAAAAGTATTTTCATCTAGATGGATGAAGACAGATTCACTCTTACCTTTCCAAGACGACTGTGAAGCAAACCACATGTGTGCTTTTCTGTGGTTTAAAAACTCATGTGATCTTGTGATAGTGCAAGTCTTTAAGGCAACTAACCACTCTTGTTAGAGTGCATCAAGTCACATCAACAAGAATACATTTAAGAAGTGCTAAGCTGGTGAATTTCATGCAGATTGTGTATTTCATTACATTCACCTTAGAAACATAAATTTCTTTTGGTTCAAATTACATGTTAGAGTCTTGCAAACGCAGTAACCAACCAGTTTATCCTAAAAGTCCCATCACAAAAAAGTTTTTATTAGACCATTTCTCTCTTTTCAAAGTTATTTTTGAATCCCAACAATGATTTTCATGCTTTTTGATGAAAATTTACGATGCGAGTCAGAAACCAGGAAACCAGACGAATGTGTATGTGGAATCTTTTTTATTGATAAAACCACCACATGCTTAACAGTTCATCATATAGAAAGGTAGAAAACCATTAGACAAAAGGCTCCACTACCTGTGGTGCCAGGCTTGCTGTGTCACTGTCCCCATTTCCTTACCAGACCCCCACCATCTGTCTAACTGCTTAAATAGGGTATGAGGCAGACATGCTAAAACAATTACTTAAAATTACTAATATACAATGTGGTCAACACATAGATGAAAGAAATTCTAATACATGTTACATGCTAAAACAGTGAGAAAAATAGAAGCCAGTTTAAAAACAAGCAAATATAGGTTACATAGATTTAGTTTTTTGTTTTGTTTTGTTTATTTCTTTGATTTTGTAAATGCTAGGCAGCTTCAAAAGATTACACTGGTTCTAATTTGCAGATATGTTGTTTAAAATAGTGATAAACTGTCTCAGAGTCTGAGACTTGTATAAGGATAACTTGTTTGGTTTTCTATTTGGAGTCAGGCTAATTCTAAAGAGTCATTTTAAAGCTAAATGAAAAGTATTTCATTTTATTTTCTTGTTTATTATACAAGAAAAAAGCCTTTCAGTGATACCTAGCCTATATAATCCACTTTAAATGCTCTGCTCTACAACCTTACCTTAAGGTTTAAACAAAAACCTAAGCCTGCCGTAACTCCCTTTCCAAAATTAAGTGCTACACATCGCCAACAGCTCCACATTTTCTTCCTCTGTACCTGGACAGAACCTAAGGACTGCACACTAGCAGCACCTGTTGCTGTTGTATTGTTGATCCAAGTCTTTGGATAACGCTCATTGATTTTAAATGAATATTATACGCATTTAAAGAAGCATGGAATTTGTGCTACCTAGATATTTGGTAGATGGATATATATTATTTGTTAGATATTTCTACCTAGATTTGATTTAGTACAGTAGATATCTCCAGATACAGTTTTATTACAGATTTATTGTTTTGTTTTATTTTTTTTCATTTCTGATACAGTGTTATGTGTTCCATGTTAATTCGGACTGATATAATACAATAAACAACTAAATTATATCTGTACATTACAAACATATTTATTTTGAAGCCTAGACATTAGTGTAAACTTTGTCGTCATTGTTTTTTGAGAAGATTTTACATAGACCTACATAAGCATACTTTACTCCACTTCGAACTATTCCATTGACCAGATTTGCCTTACTCTCCAGCTTCCGCAACTTTTCTGTGTCGCCTTTCTCCTTCATCTTCTCAATCAGGAAATCCACATGGACATAAGTGGACACTGAATCTACTTTCAAGGCAATTTCATTCAGTCTGTCAACATGCTGGCAGGCCATGTCAATCCACTTTGCTTTATCTGCTTCAAGGTTTTCTATTTCTTTTTGGAGATCATCCAAAAGGCTTGATGCATCCACAGATGCTGCTTTGCTCTTTTCAAACCTTTCCTTCACATCTATCAGAGTTTTCTGAACTTTCTTTGTCTTTGTAACATAGATGTATTTTTCTTTAATGTGAGCAGATGCAAGACACTTCCTGGTACAAGCAGTGCAGCGCCCATCTTTTATGACCTCACAGTGTTCAGGTTTCCAGGCCATTGTGCAGCCAGGGTAGTGACAGTTCTCCTCACAGAATGTGCAGCAGACAGCTCCTTCAAAAAAAAGCAGCCCCCACATTCCACCGTTAATAAGCTTTTTGTCTTTGTATGGCTCATTGACTTCTACTTCAAACTCTTTATTCATCTTCATCTCTTGTTCATATTTCTTCAGAGCTTGCTGAGTCTGTTTGAGTTCTGCCTGTTTTAGTGCAATTAACATGAGGCGGTCTTGCAGGTTTTGGATGCAGGCTGTTAGTCTGATGTGTTCCTTCATAACTTCCACAGTTGTCTCCAGTTTTTGAGGTGTGATATTTTCTAGAAGGTCTGTAAACTGTTTCATTCCTTGTGCTGAAATTTCATGAGCATGCTGCAAGTTCTCTCTTTCCTTAGTTCGATCTTGATTCTGGCAGTTATCAAACAGAAAGTGAAGAGGTACATTTTTTTTATTTCTGGCACATTTAATGTTTGCAGCTTCAAGAGCTTGAAGGAGATTCATAGGTGTGACTCCATTTGAATATGTAATGAAGGTAACAATGTTTTTCTCCAAGTCGTTTCCAAACAGAGACATCACTGAATTCAAGATGTACACAAGGCGGTCATTAAGTCTACATTCACTTGCCTTTACCACCAGACCCACCACATCAATTTCATGAAATCCTTCCTGAGAGCGAAATAAGTCAAACAATCGTTGACTGACGATGATGTCATGTTCGATCCCTTGGATGTTTCCATATCCAGGAGTATCAATAATGGTCAGAGAGTAAGGCAGAGTTTTATTTTCAAAATCAAAGACCTCATACAGAATCACATCTGATGTCTGACTCTGAAACTGACTTTGATTCTTGTCAACTATGATCTGAAACCAGACTTCATCCTCCCACTTCACTCCCATGGTGTAGTTTACCAGAGCGTTGATCAGACTAGATTTTCCTGCTCCTGTTTCTCCCACAAGTAAGATGGTTTTATTTGGCTTGCTTGGATTTTTTTTGCCAAAGGTAACTCTTCTTAAAGTGCCAACTATGTCAGTCGTTGTTGTCAGCTGGTAACAACTAGGAGATCCTTTTTTGATCAAATCACATTTTGAGATGATGCTCTTTAGTTTTGATGACTGCATAGCCCTGCCATAAAACAAATACAGTAGACTTTAAGAGTGATTACATTTAATGTGTATTTCTCATTAGCAAATTGCTAAACTTGATTTTAAAACAAATGTGTATTGAGCAGAGCTTTTAATCCATCCATCCATTTTCTGCCACTTATCTAGGTTTGGGTCATAGGGACAGTAGTCTAAGTAGAGAGGCCAAAGTCAGCTAAAAGATATAATCTCTCAAGTTGGATTTGGCCTGGGGTGGGTCCTCTTAGAAGGACATGCCTGAAACACTTCAAAACACCAGGTACCTAAGACTCTAAAACCAGACTAACCAACCTGTGCACTGCCTGGGTTGACTACTGGGGGTGGTTGTAGCTCAGGAGGTAGAGCAGGTCACCTACTGATCGGAAGGTTGGTGGTTCGATCCTTGGCTCCTCCAGTCTGCATGTCAAGTATCCTTGGGCAAGATACTAACCCCAAGTTGCTCTCCGATGCATCCATCGGAGTATGAATGTGTGTGAATGTAGTTAGATAGCACTAAGTGTAGATAAAATGGTTGTGAGAATGGGTGTGATTGGGTGAATGTGGCATGTTGTGTAGAGCGCTTTGAGTACTCTGAAAGAGTAGAAAAGCGCTATATAAGAATCAGTCCATTTGGCCTATGACTCAATGCCCCACACATGGATCATGGAATGCCTAGAGCTGTAGAAGATCAACATGATCTTAAAAGCCTTCATTAGTAACTCAGTGGATGTGGCAAACAACACTGGAAGCCAACTGCAAGTCAATAGCATAACTTACCATAACTCACTACTAAGGATCTATCCCCACCACTATTCTGCATAGGCCTGAACCCCCTCAGTAAGACGATCATCTCTCTATTTTAGTAAGTCGTTGGAGCTGGAAGGATGCGCAGTGCACTACTGAGCTCTGAGTAGAAGATCCATAGAGGCTTGTGTCTAGCACATAAGACCCCAGGTGCAGGCTGTGTAAAGGTGCCCCTGACTGAGATACTCCAGCACATAAAAGCAGGGTGTAAGATGCTAGCAGGCAGGGCATGCATGGAACACCATAATCAAGTGTCCAATATACAGGAACATCTGTGCCGAGTATTGTCCCAAGATCAAAAGTCTATTTTGATCCCAAAATCTTATTTTGACCTTTGGAAAACAAGATTAAACTTCCTTTTTTGATCAATCATACAGTTAGGGCTGGATCCAGTGACAGTGAATCTTCACTTCATTATTCTGCAATAGGTCTAAGCTGCTGGGGAATCCCTACAATCCACATTTTTTTTCTCTCATAATGTGTTTATGCATGACTTTGTAATTAATAATTAGTTAATGATTCTTCCCCTCACCCCAAATGAATTACGGAGGATATTGTCCCTCCCTGAGCCTGGTTCTGCTGCAGTTTTGTTTGTGTTAAAAGGGAGTTTTTCCTTCCCACTGTTGTCAAAGAGCTTGCTCATAGTTCATTCATTCATACACATTCACAAGCAGACTGGAGGAGCCAGGGATCGAACTACTAACCTTCCGATCAGTAGGAGACCTGCTCTACCTCCTGAGCTACAACCATCAACATGAGTGATAAACATGAGTAAACTCTCACCAGGTTTTGGATAAAGTGTACACTCACGGACAAGTGGTAGAAATCGAATAGATTGATGAACATATAACAATGAATTTTATTATGGATCAGTGGTTAATTATTCTAATATGACTTACTTTGCCATGATAAAAACTTGAGAGCAAGCTTTAAACTGTGACGAAGGCCTGAAGAGAAAAGAGAAAAACGTTTAGTAAACTGGTGGTTTCCTTGACTGTAGCAAAGTCAGCCTATTAGTTTGTGTGATAGAGTATAATTTACAATATTGGAATATTATTCTTCATAACAGTTGGAATCATGGTATTTGATTAATCTGAATTTTACTGCAGTGCGACATCTATCAATATGTGTTGCAATGTCACACAGTGAAAAAAAAGAAAACATGTTTGTTTTGCAGAAAAAATTAAGTGAGTAAAGTTTTGGTGCTGCCACAGTAATGTTTTATTTAAAAAAAAATAAGCATCCACATAAAATGGAGACATTTACTAATGTAATACAGTAGAACCCCGACTTACGAATACCCGATTTAACGGAAAATTCAAGTTACGAAGGCACTGAACAGCAATATCTCTCCCCGTGTTACGGCAAAATGCCCGTGTAACGAAATCCGCTGGCTCTGATAGGCTGAGCCTACAATGCCCAGAATGCCTTCCGAATCATGTGACAAACCCTTGAATGACATATTGTGTTCTAGTTAGAAATTAGCCTATAGCCCATCGTTCAGCATCGCCTCACTCAAAAGGCGCGATGGGTGCTTCGACTTATGAAAATTTTCGACTTACGAAAGACCTTCTTACATACTTTATATGTAAGAAACACACTTTCATACAAAAAAGCCACATATGATGTGTTATTGTTTTCTCTATGTCTCTCTCCCCTGTCTCCTCTACTCTACTCTATGGGTGGAACTTTATGGCTTCCCACCCTTGGCCCACACACCTGCAAGCAATTATTTACCTGAGGTTCATTATCCTGACTCTTCCGGACACTATTTAAGGCTGTGTTTCAGGCCTCCTTGTTGCTGGATTGTTGTACAACTCACTCTAGTGTAGCGGCAGCGGCATCTATTGGCCACCTGGGCCTTACACAGAGTTTCTGTCTTCTGTCTTGATTTCTCAGAAATTGTAACTGATTTAGTGCTCAGCTCAGATAAAATAATTATTGTGGGTAATTTTAACATCCATGTAGATGCTAAAAATGACAGCCTCAACATGGCATTTAATCTGTTATTAGACTCAATTGGCGTCTCTCAAACTGTAAAAGAACCCACTCACCACTTTAATCACACTCTAGATCTTGTTTTAACATATGGAACATATGAACATTTAACAGTGTTTCCTGAAAACCCTCTCCTGTCTGATCATTTCCTGATAACATTTACATTTGCAATAATTTATTACACAGCAGTGGGAACTAGACATCATCACAGTAGATGTGTTTCTGAAAGTGCTGTAACTATCACCCACCCACTTTTATCATCCTCAATGCCCTGTACCAAATCAGAAGTACCTGACTCCAAGGGTTCCTTTGCGATATTTGATTTGTGATAACTTGGAAGCAACAGACTGTTTCTGTAACCCATTGTGTCATGTAGCATAGAAAAAGACAACTTGATGTCTGAATAACAGTATTTTATGCTCCAGGAATGAAAACAGACAGGTGTGTTATAGAATGCAGCATCATTTATATAATACTACCAGCATCATTTAAATTTTTAAAGCAATAGACAGAAACTTAGAATTAACAGATAAAAAATTTGCTATCATGGAATTTTGTGTGTATGCAGTACCATATTACATGTTCTTTAAAACAGCAGTTCTATGTATGCTATTAACACACACAGGAAGACCTTCACTGGGCATATATTTTATTATTCCATTATTATGTTTCAGTTAATGATGGAAATTGTTTCTTATCCGAAAACTTTTTTTTCACCACAAGTGTCATGAACAAAATGAAAGGAATTACATTGTATCATTTTTGATAGCACATCACTAGTCACTTACACTGCCTTATCTGCTCATTTTGAATCTTCTGGTCCTTTAACCCTAGAAATGTTCCTCAGGTGTGCATCGTTCAACCATTCGGCGCACTTTACACAGGGAGATGCTGTATGTGAGAGTGATGCAGAGTGAAGCCTTTTCTCTGCCCACAGCACAAACAGAGCCGTTTGAGGTTTGCTAAAGCACATTTGGACAAGCCAGCTTCATTCTGAAATAAGGTGCTGTGGACTGATCAAACTAAAATTGAGTAATTTGGGCATAACAAGGGGCGTTATGCATGGAGGATAAAGAACACAGCATTCCAAGAAAAACACCTGCTACCTACAGTAAAATATGGTGGTGGATCCATCATGCTGTAGGGCTGTGGGGCCAGTGCAGGGACTGGGAATCTTGTCAAAGTTGAGGGACACATGGCTTCTGAGCATGGACAGCTCTCTTTAACTCACACCACAGATTTTCAATAATATTCAGGTCTCGGGACTGAGATGGCCGTTCCAGAACGTTGTACTTGTTCCTCTGCATGAAAGCCTTAGTGGATTTTCAGCAGTGTTGTGGGTCCTTGTCTTGTTGAAAGATCAAGCCCTGGCGCAGCTTCAGCTTTGTCACTGATTCCTGGACATTGGTCTCCAGAATCTGGTGATACTGAGTGGAATCCATCAAATCTGAATGAACTAGAGACGTTTTGTAAAGAGGAATTGTCCAAAATACCTTCAACCACAATCCAGACTCTGATTGGAACCTACAGGAAGCGTTTAGAGGCTGTAATTTCTAATTTGTAATTGTAATTGAAGCCCAAATTTATGCACCTGTCTGATTTTGTTTAAACAATTATTGACTATTAACATGACCATTAACAAGGTTGCCCAAACTTTTGCATCCCACTGTATATCATGTGTAATGATGTAATCATTGATGAGACTTTCCTGATAGAGATCTAATATTTAGTGCAGCTGCTTTAATATTTCTTTCAGTGATTGAGAAATTATTTTTGCACAGTATTATATTCAGATTATGTACTGTTTGATAATAAGTACTTTTAGTGTGTAAGGATCTATTGCTTATAATAACTGGTATTTTACTTTTAGAATATAAATGAGAGTGACCAGACACATTTTGGTAGGAAAGATGCAATCTGGGAACGGCATCCGGTTGACATCAGATGTCAGACACGGTTAGGTGGAGTGGAGAGCCATATTGTTTATAATTAGTAGGTGGGTATGGTCCCACTTTTGGTCTCAGACGAATCCCTCAGTTTATTTGGGTTTGAAGGGGTTCGGGAAACAACTTAAATGGTGATATGACCACTGATGATGATGATGATGATGATGATGATGATGATGATGATGATTAAGGTGATTCTGATGTCTTTATCTCAATTTGAGAACATGGTGGTGAGTTCACTTTTATTCTTCATCTGAGGGTGTTGCTGGAAATGGTCCAGATATGTGACTTTCTACCTTGTAGTTGTTAAAGTTCTGAAGTAAATCCAAGAAGTCTTTCTTGAAAATTTCAGATTTTTTCAGAAAGATGTCAGCAGCTCCAGCATGAAAAACAACTTTTTCTGGACTCTGGGTTACTCTCAGTAATCAGTGGAATCCTCTCAGAAATTTCTTTTACTGTCATTCGTGGAAAATTAAAGACACTGGTATTGATGCGTAGCTGTTCAATGCCTTTGACTGATCTGTCAGGAATAATAGCAAGTGCTCTCCCTCGCATGTGTTCTCTGTTCTCTTTGACCATTTCATGCAGCTTGTTGTATCTTTATTTACATTACATTACAGTCTTGTAGGCTATCTACTGTGATGCTTACACCTCTGATGAAGTCTCACAAGTGTCAGTACTGATAAACAACCAGAATTACTGTCTGAGTAAAAATTTAATCGAACGAATGGATTATAGAAATCAGTGATGATACCCAGCCCTAGTGAGTAGCCTAAGCCCTACATAAGTGGATCTAGCTGTGGGTATATAGTTAAGAACGATTGATACCTTTTTTTTTTTTTTAAGTTAAGGTCTGATTCATCTGAAATTCATAGCCACTCTGACACAGAGCCATCAACCTCTGAATGCTGGAAAAAGCACAGTGTATTCAGAAAACACATTATATGCCACAATAAATGCACTGCTCAAGTGTCCCCCTCTCCCTACTCACTTTCAGCCGCATGCAGCTAAGTTTAATATTGCCTACAATATTGCCAAAGAGTGCCAAAGCACTTTAAGCACAAGCACTTTTTCAGTAACTTATCTTTCTTGTAGAACTGTGCTACAAATAAAGAACTTTGTGTTGACAAGATTGTTAGCTAATCATTCACAAATTAATATTGTCTGTACGGACAGCAATGGAAAAAAGTAAACATGTAAAACTGCGGTGTTAAGCAATGTGGTTGAAAATTTTGGGTGCACCTAACTTTTGTGCTGGTGCACCTAAGAAAAAAAGTTAGTCTAGAGCCCTGCCATTAGCCAGCAATTTTCAATTTCCTCAATTCACCTGCTCTGGCTCCTGGAAGACAATCGACTATGGTTACTGATGTCTCTAGCTTCACATGTCACAGAACAGAATCACCAATTACCAGGGTTTGATCCCTGGTGGGTGTGTCGCAAAGTGGTGAAAAACAGTTAGACACATGAACAGGTTGGTGGCGTATCAGGGGCTTCTGTTTAAGACTATGCTTCCTCCTCACTGTCACCTAGTCATCCTGTTTCTTCGGCTGCTCGGGACAGTCTGCCAGGGGACAGCTAGCGGGCCTATGCTACCTTTGGCTGCACCTACTACATGTGCCTGGCTAGCTACGGGTTTTTCAAGGTTTGAGTCTCCAATTCAGGGATCCTGGCCTCCAGAGCTGCAAATACCTGACTTTTATTGTGTAGGGATTAGAGAAATATTTTGCTGCTATTGTTAATGATCATCATCATTACCATTGCATTAATCATACAGTTTACAGTATTGATATTGTATTTAGATGTTTAAACATATTGGTACCCAATTAGCCTTTATTACAGCTGGTGAGGTGAGAGGTGAAACATTTCACCTCTCACCTCATTTCATGCTGACACCCACACACACTCACACTCACACAGTAGATAGACTCATTTATAGGTGAGAGGTTAATCATGTTTGCTTGCAACTGCAAAATTGTCTCTGCAAAAAGAAGAACAGTTTC